GAGAGCGGCCCCCGGCCCCCGCCATGCAGCCACCAGCCTCCGCAGCCAGGAGCGGGGCACTTACCAAGTGGAAGTACTTCTCGGTGTCCAAATCCTTGACTGTGAAGAAGAAGAGAGAGACACACCGGCTCAGTCGGGGGACCCAAACAGCAGATGCCCTCTGTGTCAGGAGGCGTTTCACTTTCCCCAAGAACCCCAACACTAAGCTGGCGTTCCCACCCCCATGCAGCCACCAGCCTCCGCAGCCAGGAGCGGGGCACTTACCAAGTGGAAGTACTTCTCGGTGTCCAAATCCTTGACTGTGAAGAAGAAGAGAGAGACACACCGGCTCAGTCGGGGGACCCAAACAGCAGATGCCCTCTGTGTCAGGAGGCGTTTCACTTTCCCCAAGAACCCCAACACTAAGCTGGCGTTCCCACCCCAAGTGACCTCAGTTTTAATTTGTTTTGGGGTTGTTTATTGCCTTCTGGGGCACATGGCCAGTACCTCAGGAAGTACTTCAAGGAGGACTTAACGTCTCCCAAAGGTTGTTTTAAGGGGGACCCAAGAGGGCAGGAGAGCAGGATCAGCACAGGGGCACTCCTGCATCGTGATGATGCTCTGCAATGCCCCGCTGTGCCCTGCGATGCCCCGCTGTGCCCTGTGACACCCTGCTGTGCCCCGCAGCCCCACATGCCCTGGGCCATTTCCCAGCCTCGTTGTCAGGGCAGCTGCAGCCCCGAGCAGCTCCTCGCTCCAGTGGGCGAAAGGACTCCCACTGCAGAGACAGGCTCAGCGCGGGCAGCCTGGAGACAGGGATTTGAAACTCCTTGTTCAATGTGAATTTTTTGTTTCCCTTGGTCCGTTTTGACTCTCTGCACAGACTGAAAACCTAGAAATACCCTGGCAAGAAACTGAATGTGTGTAACTGAGAGGGAAAGGGTTGTTCCAACCAAGCGGTTTCAGATCCTTCCTTTTTTTCCACTTTGTTAGCACAGACTGAATGCAAACCCCTAATGAGGATGTGAGATGAAAGGTGCAAACACCTCTATCTTAAGGGCTGGGAAAGTACTCAGCACCCCAGCAAGAGGAGAGAGAAGGATACTGGACCACACATTTCTAAAGCAAAACCACAAGCATGACACTTTGGTCTCCTGCAATGTGTATATCAGAAATGTACACTTCCAGCTCTTCTTCTTTTCTCCTACAGAAGGAAAAGTGAGCACAAACCCCCACTTTCACAAGTGACATACACAAGCCTTAAAGTTCAAAGGGGTGTGGAAGCCGCCCACTCTCCAGGATCAGTCCCACACTCCTGGAGACCCGTGACCTCTCCAGTGGCCACTGCAGCTGTAAGCTGCTGCCTGTCCCCCCGCTCTGGGGGGAGCTCCCCTGCCTGCGGTCAGTGGGGAGCACTGCTGCCAAGGGGAAGGGGCAGTGCACAGCAGGGACAGGGCTATCCAGCGGCGCTGACAGGGATGTCCTTGCGCCGAGGCCATGACAAGCCCTGCAGAAACCCTGCTCCCAGCTCCCTGCACCTCTTCCCCCCGGGTGCTGGCTGCAGTTCAGGCAACGTCACCACGCACAGCAGTCACTACAGCACTAAGTGTCTCCACTCCGCCTGCCTGTCTCGCCTCGGTCCCACCTGGGACAGCTGCACCACCGATGCCTGCATGGCAGGACTCGGACCTGCGGCCCTTGTGGGGAGCACGGGCACGTTGCTCGGCTGTAGCAAGGGGGAACCCCATGGGAAGGAGGGAGGTACGTCTCCTGCAGCTCTGCAGCTCTCTGTCTCAAACATATGCCACAGCGTGGGCAAAGGGGGTTTGCGGGAGAGCAGTGGAGACCCTGCAGGACCTGGAGGGCTTCCTGAGCACGTCCTGGGCTGCTGGCTGGTCAGCTTGCTCGGCGGTGGCAGTCCCAGACCATGCTTAGTGTCTTCCCTCGCACAAAGGAGGCCCAACTGACGCCCAGCTCTGCCCAACGTGCCACTACAAAAGGGGGCTCTGCAAGTGCTGGTAACACCAAAGCCAGCCCTGCGTGGGCTAACCCCACACCCCAACGTCCAGGCAAGGGGGCTGGCAGCTGGCTCTCAGCACCCCTGGCCAGAGACACCCTTCTAAAAACCCAAGTGTTTCTGCCCGGTCACCAGAAACAGGGGAAGAGAAGTGAGGCATTACCTCTGCTCAGCGTGGTGTCCTTCTTGTCCGACAAGCTCATGGCCAGTGACGCCCCTTCGGGGATCTGCGGAGGAAGGGAAGAGAGACATCAATGACAGGGGCCTTAATGGCGCCTCCCACAGAGCTGGGGACAGCCCTGGGGAGATGCCAGGAGCTGGGGGACGCTGGTGCAGTCACTGCTCTGCCACAACGTCCTCTGCGCCTGCCCTGCCCTGCCCCTGCTCCCCAGCTTGGAAACTGGCAGTAACAGCACTGCCCTACGTGGAAAGGGTTTTTTAAATGCAAACGCAAGACAGTGAGGTTCTCAAATCCGATGGGAATCAGGCAAATACGTCCAAGACACATTTCTGGATGTCGACACCAGGCAGCTGGAAGGCCAAAGTGTTCTGCTGTGCCGGTGCTGTTTTGCCCTTCCCCAGAAGGGGAGAAGGAACCCGCGGGGCTGTACTACCTCTCTGTGCTGCGGCTCCGGCTCTCAGCACAGCGGGGCACCGTGCCAGCAGTGGGGCTCCCCGGCACGGCTGTTACACAAATAATAATATTAATAAGTACTCAGCTCCGTTTTTGATTTTCCATGCACTGTTACAGACCAGTGAGGATTATGCTCCCAGGCATACCAGGGAATATGGAAATCGTATATGAATTTCTGGTTTCATTTAATTTTAAAAGGAAAAACGGTTAAGAAAACAATTTGATTCGCCACATTTCCCCACATTTTTGGCCTCTGCTCCTCGATGGCATCCCCAGCCCCTGCTTTCAGGGCAGGCAGGGACAATTGTGCCAGTGACATCAGCAGGAGCACAGATCAAGAGCAGAGTGATACTAATCAGCCAAGCTGGTGGCCGTTGGGAATAAGAGCTTTTTTTCCTCCTCTTTCTGTTGTCAGTAATAACTTGTTTTGCATGAAGAGTGTTTAATTAGTTTCAGTGTGTTGCAATATTAACGAGCTTCTCGCCAGGGCAGATGTCTATTCCCCGGAAGCTCTCACGGAGCTATGGCAACCTCCCTGCTTGTTCCTGATGATCCTGTTTTTGGAGGGGAACCGCGGCTCGCCCCTGAGGCCAGGCAGGCTCCGCTGCAGCACCAGCAGGTTTACCTTGTAATGCGCTAATGTGTTGAGTTTCTTCCTGCCATCCTCCACCACCGAGGTGTCATCAAGGTCCCGGAGGATGTAGCTGTCGGTGCTTGTGGCAAACCACTCTGAAGAGAGAAGGGAGAAGTGAGACACCAGCCTGAAGGAGGCACGTGCAGCCAGGCCTGGGGCTCCGGGGACCAGCCACACAGCGCTCGGGGGCTGCACAGCCCCGCTGCCAAGGCCTCTGGGGCTCTGTGGACCCACGTTTAGCAATGGCCTCCGGGGTTAGCCCCTGGAGCGGGCAGTTCCAGACCAGAGCAGAGCTGGATGGAGCTGGGGAGGTGACAAAGGCTCTGCTCAGAGCGACGAGGAGGAGCACACCTCCCCCTTCCCCTCTCCCCATCTTGCCCCTGGGGTCTGTGTGGGACCTGCCTCGTGGAGCACGAGGCGGGTGAGATGCTGCGTGTCCTGCACTCGGCCACCGAAGGTCGGTGGTGGCTCCCCGCAGGGCAGAGCTGGTCGTGAATCTGTGACCGGGGGACATGCCACCCACCAGCTGAGAGGTGCGGGGCCCCGTCACTGCTCCAGCCCAGTCAGCTCCCTCTGGCACTGACTGCGTTGCACGTCACCCTGTGACCGCTGCCAGCCAGCCTGTGTCCCCCAGGCCGCTGCCTGCCACGGGGGCACCGCAGACAATGTGGGTTTCTCTTACAGCATCGGGCTTGGATCCTGATTAAGTTTTGGCAGAAAGAGCTGGCCACTGGGTAGACAAATGACAGATCTGAATCTACGGCCGGACAGGAGTCCATGGGCTCAATTATAGCTGCTTATGGAGACACATGTATTAACAAGCCATCTGCAGGCTCAGGGGGGTTTTTAGGGGGTACCTGTTCTGGAGTTAAGACTAGAGGCTTTAAAGGGTGCAAGTCCAAGCACCCCTCTGCTCCACTTGAGCTTTCCTAAAGCTGCTCTCCAGTTATGTGCCCAGTTATTCCTGCCCACCAGTATCTGGTCCCATCACTCATTCCCGAAGACCATCTTCAGGAAAAGGCTGCCCCGATGTCTGCCCCCTTGTCAGTGCTGCTTCACCCACTGCCCTCTGACAGGCACCAAGAGCTACCGTGCAACTTCAGGTGCTTCATCTGGTTTTAAGGACTGGCTGATCCCATATATCTGGTCCTTACCGAGGTCGACGTCTTCCACCCTTGGCCACTGGGAGTAGGGGACGTTCTTGCAGAAGGCCTCCAGAATCTTCTCCTTCACTTGGCTGAGTGTGTCCGTGTCCATGGCCCTGACGCTCAGGGAGTCCATCCCGCAGCCTTGGAAGGAGACGTTCAGGTTCTGCAGGCAGAGACCAAGTTAGAGGTGACCTGCCCAGTTCTGCTGGCTCCCAAGGACGCGTGGAGGCTGCGGCGCCCGCACAGCTCTTACTGGTGTGATCTGAGCCCCGTGCTGCTGGAAATCAGGCTGAACAAATGTGATCATCTAAGCTTTACGCTAGTGAGAGGCGCTGATTTATAGCCCCCGGAGGCTGAAGGCCCCTGTTTGTTGATGGAGCCAGGAGGACACAGGGAGCGACACTGCAACCTCCTCTCACGCTGCCTTGCTAATGGGCCTTAGCCCTGACACGCAGAGACCACCTTGGGGGCAGGAGGAAAGGTCAGCCCCCATAACCAGTCATGTCCTCAGCTTTTTGGCTCCGACCGGTGACTAATGGGACCGCCAAGGCTCATTGCTCAGCCTCTCCTGACGCAATGGGCTGAGGTCCTTTGTTTAAACAAGCTTTAAGCACGCCGCAGGCTGGGTCTGCTGCAGCACTGGAGTCCGCCACCAGCACCACCCAATAACCTGCTCGAGCGTGCTGAACAGTGGGACGAGCAGCTGCAGGGGGTTGCAGGCTGCCAGAAACACCACCTCGGACCTCAGGGACGCACAGCTACTGCCTCAGTGGCAGCAGAAAGCTGCAGGGCAACGAGAGCGACTCTCTTCGTCTAAAAAATCCTCTCCCCTTTTGGGAGTCAAGCAAGGAGAGGCAGAGTCCAGGTGCCTCCTCCTCTCGCAAGCTGTGCAGATCCAAATGCTACAAGCATGGCGTCTCCCTCCTGCCCAGGGGCTTCACTCCAGGACAGCCTCAGCTCTGCCTCTGCTTGTGTCCTTGGTGTGCCCGAACCCCAGGGCAACGCTGCGCCTTCATTCGGTGGTGAGCGCGGCCCCGAAGCCATCTCGCTGCCTGACTGGCAAGCCCAGGGCGGGAAGCTGCAGATGCCAGGAGCGCTGCCTGTGCATAAGCACAGCTGCCTCTTGGAAGGACACCCGGTATGCTGAGAGTTACGGCTGGGATTTTCACAGCCTAGAGGTTCCTTTGCAAACACTGCTTCTCAGAGTCAGCATCCCTGACTATGCACACCGTGGATGCACAAGCAAAGTCCAATTTTCCCCACAGCATTAAAGGAAGACATTATTTCACAGTGTGTACTATGCAGGTGTTCTTTAAAGCAGAGGTTCAGTTACCAGCAACGTGGGGGATTGCCGGTGAGTTAGCACTAACTCTGCAGTTGCTCTCCTTCCTCCAACATACCCTGTTCATAACTTGTCCTTCTCCTCCTTCAACTCGGAAGCAGCCGCAGTTCCCCTGCTCAGACTCATGAAGTTACCATTTCTGCCGAGAAAGCTAATACTTTGCACCCTGCTGCTAACCCCTCTCGGTCTGCGCTGTAAATTTACAGGTCAGTTGGTAACAGGAATCTGCAGAGGATGTGGAGCTCGAACCTGCTCTGAGTTACAGTGGTGCACATCTGGGGTAACCTACTGACTTCAGTGAGGCTGCTCCAGATTTATGCCAGGTAATTGAAAGCAGGATGTGACCCAGGCTCTGGAAAGGCATCTGCTGAATTCTCTGTCAGGTACTGGAGGGAACCGAGCCCTTCACACGCACAGCCCTCGCCTGCCCTGTTCCCGCAGGAGGCATTTCGCAGAACTGCTTTTCAGCACCACTCCTGCCACAGCCTGGGCAAAGCCCTTACCTCGGGACCCAGGTTTACAGCCAGCACCTTCTCGCTGCTAGTGAAGATGCTCTTTTGCCAGGAATGGTAAACTTGTTGCTTTAATTCTCTGAACAGGGCAGAACAAATTTGCTTACCTCCCTCCACCCCTAATCTGAGCTACTCAGGTGACCCATCGAGGGACAGATGTGAAAGCAAATAGTCATTACGTGTCCTGTTCTGTAGTTGTGAGCTTAGGCAGCAGCAACGTGCCTGCGCAGACGTGTAATTTACACGGTTATTGCACCTGCACAGGTACCAAATCAGCCTCTTGCACAACTACCCCGCCGGCGTACGCACCCGTCAGACCCCCGGGGTGCAGACACTCACCCTCGGCTTTGCCTCGATGTTCTCCCTCAGGAGCCACTCCTCGTTGAGGGTGTACCTGGCTTTCCCTGTAATGGCGTCGATGGACCCTTTGTTAATCTGCTGTTTGATGGCACAGATCAAGAGGAAGAAGGGCTCTCCCACGGTCTCCTGGGGAAAGGAAAGAAGACCAAGTAAGCAAACCAGCCCTGGTGGTGGTAACTCCTTCCAGCGGCAAGGCGGGCACAGGCTCTGCACAGGCACCAAAGGTGCCGCTGCACATCGGGGAGCGGGACTGGTCCGCCCCAGGCCCCGCGAACTCCCGGCGGGTGCTCAGCGCTGTTGCTCCCCCAACTCCCACCATCATCTCCCCGAGGCTGCTCAGAAGTTTTCATACTCGTGGCAACATGACGGTGCAGACAGGGAAGAGGACATAACAGCCGACACCAGCCGCGGGCAATTCTTGGGGAGGGTGAACGGCAATTGTCAGCATCAACGTACCCATCCAACCTCCACAGAGAGGACCAGAGGGCTGGGGACTGCCACCAGCATGTGCTGGCTCCCGGGGCAGAGCACCCAGGCACTGTCAGAGGGTAGGGGCATGGGTGTAGCTGCGCTGAGTGGGTACGTGCATGCACAATGCTCAGCAAAAGACAAATGTGCATTAATTTACATGTAAAATTACACATGCGCTTCAGGGAGAATCTGGCATACTCCAGTACGGAGATGCTTCTTACGACCTGACAGGGCGCAGGCTGTACAACGTACTGCATTCAAGGGCAGGGCTGATGCGCACAAAAATCCAGCTCTACAGAGACACTTGGGCGCCCGGCTTTCTCACAAAGGTATCAGCTCTTTGAGCTGCCTGGTTTGCCACAGAAATCCATGGAAGGGAGCCCACTGCGTGTGCCTGTGGCTCTGGGAACTAGTGTTCATACTTCTCATACCACAGCAGAGCCCCGATCACAGCAAAACAGAAAGGATCAGGGTCAACAAGCTGTTCCCATGCGACAGCAAGCAAACACACCATTTAACTCCTTACATTCATCAAACTTTGTCTTACAGGAGAGAGGTGAATTGTGACACTGCTGCAATGAAAACAAAACGTGTAACAGGGACCAGCTATTTGTGATG